ACACACACACACACACACAGAATTGAGAAAAAGGCCTCCCCCCCAATTCAAGGACCCAATCCAAAAACAGGCATCTGAGGTAAATAAATACATCTCAGATGAAGAAATATAAACAAACGGCAAGTAAATATATGAAAAAATGTTCAATATCACTGATCATTTGTGAGATGCAAATTAAAACAACACTGAGCTTCCATCTCACCCCCAAAGCAAGGCTGTCATCTAGAAATCAATAACAAATGCTGGAGGGGTTGTGGGGAAAAACAACTCTTTTCCACTGTTGGTGGGAGTGTAGACTGGTGCAACTATTATGAGAATCAGTGTGGAGATTCCTCAGAAATTAAGATTGACAGCCACATTTGACCCAGCTTTCCTCTTCTGGCTATCTTCCTTAGAATAATTAAGAATATCAGGGCCAAGGAGATAGCTCAATGGAATAAGCACTTGCCTGGCAAGCTCAAGGACCTGAGTTCAATCCCCGGTTCCGCCAAAGAAAAAGAATATCATGCTACATTGGTACATGTGCAACCATGTTTATAGGAGCACAATTTATAATAGCTAGATCTTAGAAACAACCCAAATACCGATCCACTAAGGAATGGATGAAAGAGATGTGACTTTTACACACAGAGTACTGTATATGGCAGAGTACTACTCAGGCATAAAGAAGGAAAACTGGAGACTTTTATAGGTAAATGGATGCAAGTTAAAACTATACGCATAAGTGAAATTAACCAGAGGCACACTTGTAAATACCGTATTGTCTCCGCTAAAAGAGTAAATAAGATCCAAAATGTATTACACGTACTGTAAAATGGGAAAAAGTTAGGGTAAGAGGTCTCATTTGACCTAGCTATTCCCCTTCTGTGCATCTTCCTAGAAGAATTAAAAACATCATGCCTCAGGGATATATGTATACTTATGTTTGTAGTAGCACCATTTTTAATAGCTAAAGCTTGGAAGTGATCCAAAAGCCCATAAACAGAATTTTTTTTTTTTTTTTTTTTTGGTGGAACTGGGGATTGAACTGAGGCCTTTGTGCTTGCCAGGGAAGCACTTATTCCACTGAGCCATCTCCCCGGCCCCTACAGAAAATATTTTTATTCATTCTTAAGGAATAAAAGCCATAGCTCTAAAAAGTACAATGCAGTGGGGTTTTGTTTTGGTTTTGTTGGTATTTGGTTTTGTTGTTTTGGGTTGTTTTGTTCTTTTTGAGGCAGGGGTCTCAGTGTGCAGTTCAGGCTAGCTTTGAACTCACTGAACCATTCCTGCCTTAGCCTCACAAGTGTGTGTGCCACAACGCAGGGTTGTAAGCTGAATATAATCAGACTTGTGGGATGGAGAGGGGAGCTGAATTTTCTCTTGGTGGAATTTTTCAGGCTGAGTGCATACTATTCCATAAATCTCATTATAAAAGACAATGCAAGATTAGTTCTTTAATAAGAATGTCAGTTATGAAGAACATCCTAAGGGCAGGCCGGATAGTTTAGTGGACTAAAGCACCTGCTTAGGCAGATGCAGGGACCAGGGTTCCCAGTTTGCTGTGCCTGCCCCGCCCCTGGGGCTTGCTGAAACAGCAGTTGAGCCTGGGCGTGGTAGCACGTGCCTGTAATCCCAGCGCTTGGGAGGCTGAAATCAGAATTACTAGGAGTTTGATCTACATAGTGAGATCCAGTAGACCCTGTACTAAATACATTTAAAAATATATATATACAATTCATGAAGAACATCCTAGCAGATAAACTTCAGATAGCCTTAAGAGAAAAAGATAACAGTTAAAAGTTTTGCTGTGGTTGGCTTGTCAAAGGAATTTGTCTTCATGTTCAATGTCAGTTTGATCCTACATGATTGGATAGGGCAAAAAACTCTTGTCAGAGGGTAGCTGGAGTGGTATTTTTATGGGTGGTGTTTTATTAAGATGCTGTTAAAGGGCTGGGGAGATGGCTTAGTGTAGACTAATCGCTTCATTGACAAGTGCAAGGGTGTGAGTTCAATCCCCGGTTCCACAAGAAACCAAAAAAGATGCTATTAAAGACAGCTGTATTCCTATAAGATTTCATTAGGTTGGAATGCTTGCAAGTTATCTGGCTGCAGTAGGGTAGCTGTGTTCTTTTCTCCCCCCAAGATTAATTTATTTGTTGTATAATATAAAACAGAAAGGAAAATCTAATTCTAGCTGTCAGCTAACTTCAGAAATTCGTAAGGAAGTTAAAGTAAACGTACCTTTAAAAAGTAACAAAACTCCAGATAGAAATTAGGCAGTATGGGCCAGAGAGATAGCTCAGCAGCATCAGCACCTGCCTGGCAAGCACAAGGTCCTGAGTTCAGGCACTAGTACCAAAAAAAGAAGAACTTGGGTGGTAGATCAGGCCAGGCTTCTGCTCCAAGAGCAGCAGAGGCTGTGCAGTCCTGCCAGTGCCCCATGTGTGTCCCAGAGCTGCCCAGTAGCTGTATTTTGTAAAAAGGATGAAGGAACAAAGACTGTTGACAGGTTTCATTTCCCTGAGAAAATCCTAAGGCTTATGAGTGAAGTATATTTAGGGGTACAATGGAATCTGGGTTTCAGAATGCACAGGAGGGCTGCTTTCTCCTTTGGCTCCAGCTATACTCTCTGCTTTGATATGCATGTCCTAGCAGGACTCAGGATGGCGAGACAGCCCTTCAGCTGGCCATCAGAAATCAACTTCCGCTTGTGGTTGATGCCATCTGCACCCGAGGAGCCGACATGTCTGTTTCAGATGAGAAGGGGAACCCCCCGCTGTGGCTTGCATTGGCAAATAATCTGGAAGACATCGCATCTACTCTGGTGAGACAGACAGCAAACATAACGTTAGCTTCTGTTTATAGATGGGAATGTTTGTATCAGTGAATTTGATGCCCACGTAGCAATCACAGAAGCAAGAGATCTGCCAAATAGCAAACTGAGTCAGGAACAAAAATCATGTTTAAAAAAATCTGAGTTCAGCATGGATTTGGCTAATACTTTTGTTTTGAGACTGTCTGTCTTTATCGAGAAGATCACTAAGAAGCAGAAAACGGGAGGGGTTTCCTCAGCAATTGGCTTCTGGGGTTGTTGATTTGATGTGTGTGGACTGTTCTCTCAATCACTGTAGCAGTAAATCCCCAGATTGCAGCTTTGTCTACCTTGTTTGCAAGATAGGCCCTGCAGTAGCGGTAAACCTTGGAATTTCCCTTTTAGTTCTCTGAAATCAAGGCATTTTATACCTGGGCGATTGCCTGTTGTTGTAAGATTTCCTGTTAATTACAGTGAAGTGTTGCTGGGGGGCCTGTGAGTTCATGTGTAAACAGGCACCTGTGTTTGCTGTCCCTTTTACAGCATGGCTCTAGAGGCACTAATTACACGTTCCCAGAGCCATCCCACAGGACCTGGTGCAAGAACTTGCACAGAGCATATTTGGGTCACTATAAAACTAATGAATGGTACAGATTAATCATCAGTTAAATATCAAACATATCTTACCTGAAAAATGGACTTAGTGGTGTGCATAAAGCTAAGACTTGGTAATGGAAGTTTTCACTTTCGGTTGAAAGAGTTTGTGAGAAACTTTTGTTTTTCTGCAGGTCAGACATGGCTGTGATGCCACATGCTGGGGTCCAGGACCTAGCGGGTGCCTTCAAACACTCTTGCATAGAGCCATTGATGAAAACAACGAGTCCACTGCCTGCTTTCTTATTCGCAGGTCCGTGAAGCACATGTGTCTCTTGAAATTGCATTCAACTTACTGCACACAGGCTCTTTTCTTATTTTGGCCCCCTCCAATCTAGACATGCTTAGAGCCACCTGGACCACATAATTAAGACTATCAGAGTGGGCTGGGGAGATAGGAAAGTGGTCTAACCACTTGCCTGGCGAGTGCAAGGACCCAGGTTTGATCCCTGGTACTGCATGCTTTGCTGACCCTGGAATCCCAGTTATGCTGAACCAGCCACCAAAACCGGGTATGGTGGTGTACACCTATAATTCCAGTGCTAGGGAGGCTGAGACAGGAGGATCACTGTGAGTCTGAGTCATATAGTAAGATTCTGTACCAAACAAACAAATAGAAAAGAGAGAGAGAGAGAGATCTTAGTTTTTTTATTTTTTTAAAAAAAAATCAGAGTCACTGTTCTGACATGTCAGCTCAGCCACTGGCCAGGCTCAGTTGTGAGAAGAGGGGCCTGAATCAAGGACTCTAAAAGTTGAGCCACCATCCTGTTTAGGAAGCTGCATGGCTCCTGCAGTCATGCCAGACCAGTTCCCATTGCAAAGCCAAGAGGCCGGTGCAGAGGACATCAGATGGTATCCATTTGCTGCCACCTAGACACATATGCCATAACAAGTCCTGTGGTCCTCAGTGGGATATGTGGGAGGCAAAGTGATCTGGGAAATTTTATAGAGTGCTGCTCCTCAAACTTAAATATTTACATATTTCCAAAGGAGCTTGTAACTGTTCTGATCCCAGGTTGGCCGAGAAGACCAATTAGAAAAGAAAGATTCTGTGGCAATGGGACTTCCATTCCTGTATTTAAGATCAAGGACCAGTGACAGCAGATTCTGGCCCCAGCAGCTCTTTTGTTGGGGTGCCTCAGGCCACTTTCCTGTAGGCCACATGGTACAAAGCCTTCCTTCTATTGCTTCCTTTCAGTGGCTGTGATGTGAATAGTCCCCGACAACCGGGTGCTGATGGAGAGGGAGAGGAAGAGGCCAGGGATGGGCAGACCCCTCTGCATTTGGCAGCCTCCTGGGGGCTGGAAGAAACAGTGCAGTGTCTTCTGGAATTTGGTGCCAATGTAAACGCACAGGTATATAATTTCTGGTTTCCATTGAGTTTGATGCTCACACACAGGGAATCTCTCGTGGAAAGGGACTTTGTGGAATCACCAGTGGTAGGCCTCTGGTTTACATGAGCAAGGCTTTGGTGGAACAGATGAAGTGACTCTTTCTGAGTTATACAGCCTATCTAACAGTTGAGATAACTTCAGGTTAAGGTTTTTCCTCTCTCTGCCTTTGTCCCTATACACTATGAGGAAAGTTTATCTGTTGACCTTTGTCTCCCATTCCTCTATTAAGAGATTTTCTCTGAAACTTGGGTTAGTCCCAGATGCAATGAGGCATTCAGCACAATGTCCATTAACTCAGTTGAACACCCCAAGTTCTGTTCCTTGGTGCCTTACAACCTTCTGGCCTGGGAAGATGCATAGCTAACACTCCACGTCAGACAAAGAATGATGTTACTTGGAGCAGAGAATGCTTGCAGGTCTTCTCAAGTAGACATGTTTGTGTTGGGCCCACTGTTGCCCCTGAAACACTGGAACAGTGTTATAGAAAGTAGCTTGCATTTATTTCTATTTTGCCTTCTACAAGCTTATTTCAAGCACAGGATGGAAATATTTATTCTTATAATGAAAACTTGATCCAGAAGTTACATACCTGTGTATTTTTTCTGAGTTGGATCTCAATTTGAATCAGAATGTTGTTTCCTTAGGATGCAGAGGGAAGGACACCTATCCATGTGGCCATCAGCAACCAGCACTGTGTCATCATTCAGTTGTTGATTTCTCACCCTAATATCCACTTGAATGTACGAGACAGACAAGGACTGACCCCATTTGCTTGTGCCATGACTTACAAGAACAACAAGGCGGCAGAGGCCATTCTGAAACGCGAGTCTGGGGCTGCAGAGCAGGTGAGTGGCCCACACTTGCCATTCTCCAGAGCAGAACTCTCTCGTGGAGACTACACAGGTCTCATCTGTACTAAGAACCGTTTGTTTTTAGATATGCTTGCCTCTTGTAGGATTCGGTCACTCAGATGTTCCATCAGTGCTAGCTAAGAAGTGACTGCCATGTGTGTCAGCCGTCTAATGGTGCCAACTTAGGTGGGAGTGAGGGCTTAGTGGACCTCGCGAGAGGAATTCTGTGGCACACACAGCTGACCACAGACTTTGCTTCTCTGTAAACTCTGCTGGCTGGCTGATACACTGATGTCTTTAAAAGACAAATGAAGCTTAAAGAGTTTGTGTTGTATTGGGAAACATTCTAAATGTTTTAGGAGAGTTGTTACTCAGCTTAGCATGCTTAGTTGCTTTTCTTTGCTGGTCTTTACCAGCTGTTAAGTCTAATTGCTATTTGTTGTTCCACAACAGAGTGGGTGGAAAGTGACATAATGACTGATGTGAGGTAGGAGCTGGGGTGGGCTAGTCAGGTCCAATGCATACACTCTTGTGACTCTCCAGCCAGGGAGTAGCTTACTGCCTGCCATGACCCGTAACAAGCCATTTGCAAAGGTAGCATGGACCCATGGGACTTGCATGAAGTACAGTCTTAGCTCGGTGAAGATTTTGTCTGGTACTGCAGGCGTCTGTGCCTCATCTTTCTTTGTTTTGTTTTTATTTTGTTTTTCCTAGTCTTCTTTTCTTCAGTATTTTCATGTGACTAGATTGCTAGGTGTTAACCTCACCCTTGCTCAGATAGTGTAAAGCCCTCATGAATGGAGATATTCATCTCACATCTTACTCTCTGTCTAGCCTGAAACTGGCACTGTTGATCCAGGTCCTCGCAGATACAGTTTTCCACTAGCAGATCCTCTCTGTGGGGGAGGTGTCTCGCACGTGTTGACATATGATGTCTCCCTCACATCCATAACAGCAGTACTCAGGGTGGTTTGATCTGTGTGAGTTCTGTCTTCAAACATTGCATTAGTGGACCAAAGTCTATAGCATGCTGCTGACTGCCTCCCCATTTGTGGGCTGTCTTCTAGGAAACTTCCCCAAGCTTTCTGAAGCCTCTGTTCCATGGGTCCAGGGAACTTTCTCTCTCTAGGCACCCCCGTATCTTGACTTGCTTTCCCTGATCTTTAGGGTGTTGACTTTCTTCGCTTGCCTTGTCCAGTTTCTGCTGCAGGACATGACAGGGTAGCTTGGATCAGTGCAGGGGCCTCTGCCCCTGACCATGTGGACGTGACCATGCACACTGTGTGCAGAGATGATAGAGTGGGTCTGTGGTAGGGACATGGAGGAGGCGGTGGCCTTTAATGTTGGTTCTTGGGAGAAAACTTCTGGAACAAAGGAAGGGATTACACGGTGACCTCGTCCATGATTCATGTTTTTGTGTGTGTGCGTACTGGGAATCTAACTCAGGACTTTGCACTATATCCCTGGCCCTATTTTCCATGATTCTTGCAACTGGAAGATGCCCAAGAGTCATTCTTTAGGAGGAACCTGCTAATATTTTGGCTCTCATTTATTGCCTTAGGTGGATAACAAGGGCCGGAATTTTCTTCATGTGGCAGTTCAGAACTCTGATATTGAAAGTGTCCTGTTCCTAATCAGTGTCCAGGCTAATGTGAATTCCAGAGTCCAGGATGCTTCCAAGTTGACCCCTTTGCACCTTGCTGTCCAGGCAGGCTCAGAGATTATCGTCCGCAATTTGGTAAGTGATGCAGAAACTCTAAATACACTCTAGGGTGTGCGCAGACTTTCTGATTGCAGGTGTTTACCCAGTTCTAGGAAAGGCCTATGTCGGTACACTCAGGAAACATGATTTTTTGGCAGAGGGGCTGGAAAGTGATGGAGTACATGGATCTGATGGCACCGGGCAGTGGCTACATGTGAGGTAGCAGCCCAGAGATGGGCTCGTCCTACAAGGAGTCGGCAGACAACCTTGTGTTCTTCTGTCAGTTGGCCACCTCAGGCCTTGAGCTCACTTTGTAGCTTTGCCTGGCTGATCTCAAACTTGCAAATGATCCTTCTGCCTCAGCCTCCCAAGAGCTGGGCTTACAGGCCTCCGCCACCACACCTAGCCTCTGGGCTTTATTATTAAAAGCAGTATACAGTTTTATAATAGCATAGTGAATGTCATCTCCAGCCTGTGTAGTATTTATATACCAGTATCCTAAAAATAGAATTTCTACATCCTGAGTAGTAGCCTTTGAACATTTTGGTAGATAAGTGCTGTTTTGCCCTTGGCATGGATTTTGTTGGTTTTGCCTCATGAATAGTATGTGTGAGGTCCTCAGCAACCAGCCTTGCGAGCAGGGCAAGGAGAAATCAGAATACAGGGGCAGGGGTGTCGCACAAGTGGGACCCTGATTGTGTTAGAAAGACTGCTCAAGCAATCAACTTCAACAGCTTCTTGCAGGAGCCAAGGTGAATGAACTAACCAAGCACCGCCAGACTGCCCTCCATCTCGCTGCCCAGCAGGACCTGCCGACCATCTGCTCAGTCCTCCTAGAGAATGCAGTGGACTTTGCTGCCGTGGATGAGAATGGAAATAATGGTAATTTCGCTCAGCACTGTGTGCACTGCTGCTTGCATGAGCAGTCTCTCCTTTCTAAGAATTGGAGGTGCACCGTTGCATCTGCTCCTCCTCAGGAGGTTGGGTTGTATAGGAAAAGAACTATGACAGGAAATACTCTGGACAAGGCTGACCAGGTCTTGGGTAGCCTCCCAGTCTAAGTGGTAACTCTGGATGCCTCAAGGGGCTTCTTGTAGCTGGGGCTTCTTGGAAGGCAGAGGCAGGAGAATTACCACAAGTTAAGGTCAGCCCGGCTACATAGTGAGTTCAAGGCCAGCCTGAACTACATGGTGAGACTCTGTCTCAAAAAAAAAAGAAAGAAAGAAAGAAAGAAAGAAAGAAAGAAAGAAAGAAAGAAAGAAAGAAAGAAAGAAAGTAAGTAAGTAAGTAGGTGGGGCAGCTTCTTGTGAAACTAGTAAATCTCATCTTAGGAACTTTTGAAGCAAGAAGCAAATGTTTGTGAGACTTTATGACTCATTCTTGACGGGCAGTAAAGACAGGAAAGGATAGCTTTGTGCATGGCAGTTACTGGTTTGACTGAACCCTATTTAGAGGGTGTCAGTGAGGGTGGGGAGATTTTTTTCTGCATGTGCTTCTAAGCTTGTACCGTAAGAGTATTTATTCCCCAGCTCTTCATCTCGCTGTCATGCATGGTCGGCTCAACAACATCCGGGTTCTCCTGACAGAGTGCACAGTGGATGCAGAAGCCTTTAATCTGAGGTAAGTTGTCTTGTCCAGAGCAGAGACCAAAACTTTGAGTCACCTGGCTGCTCTTTAGAGCTAATAATAGAGGGCCAGGGAGATGGCTCAGTGGAATAAGCGCTTCCCTGGCAAGCGCAAGGGCCTGAGTTCAATCCCCGGTATTGCAAAAAAAATAAAATAAGGGCTGGAGAGATGGCTCAGTGGTCTAAAGCACCTACTTGAAACAAGCTTGGCAAAGCACAGGGACCGCGGTTCGATCCCCCAGCACCACATGCCAGCCAGCCCTGCCCCCTGGTGGGCTGAGCTGGCCACACACACACAATAAATAAATGTAATAAATAAAAAAAAAAATAATAAAAAAATAAATAAATAAAATAAAATAAAATAATAGAACTGATAATAACTAGTATACCTCTCAGCATTCTGCAAAACTTGATCAGCTTTTGGTTCCCTAGTATTTTGGGCTTTGCAACAAATACTTTTTAGAAAAGGTTTCATGACTGCTAATTGTCTTTCTAGATTTACCCTGCATCACAGAATTCACAAAATTCCTTCTCTTTAGTGATGGCCATGGCAGGTGTACAGACCTTTTTTCCAACTTGTTTTATCAGAGGCCAGTCACCACTGCACATTTTGGGACAGTATGGCAAAGAGAATGCGGCGGCCATCTTTGATCTCTTCTTAGAGTGCATGCCTGAGTATCCTCTAGATAAGCCAGACATGGAAGGAAACACAGGTATGTACTAAGGTATTTGTGTGTCCTGTCTCATGTGCATGTGTTGCTTCCTGGACAAACAAGGTCATTATCTGAGGGCACTCAGCCCTGTGCATTTTGGAGAAATTCAGCATCTGTGACATAAAGTTCTTGTGACATTTGGAGAGTCTGACCGCTGAAGTGCATCTAGCGCTCTAGCCATACCCATGTCCAGACAGGCCTGCCTGCTTTTATTGCCTTTGTCTGCCTTTTATTTAGTTGACTAGGTTCCTTCCCAAATTCCTGAATTATGACAGAAAATATAAACACCTCCCAGGGGCTTCAGGAGGAGAAAATACCATAGAGTGTGTTGACATGCCCTGATGTCATCCCAGCACTCAGGAAGCTAAAGCATAAGGATCACAAGTTCAAGGCCAACCTAGATTATATGCTGAAACCCTGTCTCAATGAAACAAAATGTGGTCTCTTTCTCGTATATATTATTCTTTTCTTTCACGTTAGAGAGAAATTTTTAAAGTTTTTATTTATTGATACAGGGTCTTGCTACGCAGGTCAGATTTGTAGTGATCCTCCTGTCTCATCCTCCCCATCTCTGGGATTAGAGGCACGTGCCAACATGCTAGGTTTTGGGGCCAGCATGGTGCACCCAGAGTTCCAAGGTCATTGGGCTTGCCAGGCAGGCGCTTATGCCGCCAAGCTATCTCCCCAGTCCTTGTATACCATTTCTTGTTGAATATATACATCATCCCATGAGGTAAACAGTGCATACAGTTTTAGCTAAGAAAACTAAAGACCAAAAAAGGATGAAAATTGGATCTCTTTTATCCTATCTGGGAGTTCTCTGAGACTTTTTTGGCTGCGGATTCCTGTTCTTGTACCTACCCTCATGCCAGAAAGAGCCTCCAGGCCTTTGACAGAAATTCAGTCACCACAGGATACTCTGAACTTTAGAAAAGCACCAGATATTTTGTTTGCAGTTCTTAAATTTGGAAAACGTTATTGGCCCTGAGCTGCTGGTCATTGGGTCAGAGCTTCACAGCAGTCAGCCCCCAGGAGTGAGCTGCCAGAGTCATAGGATGTTTATCTAGGCGCCCAATTTCCAGAGGCCTGGTTTAAATGTCTTATTGTATCATATTTTAGCAGGGTAGCCTAGTAAATTTCTTAACCTCTCTGTTCCTATTTCATTGTTTAATGGTGAATCATTTTGCAGCGCTTACTTACTGCATCATTTTGGAAAGTGTATAATCAAAGGAAGCTGTAGTTGGTTATAATTGTTTAGAAAGAAGGTCAGCAGGACAGCCAGGCCAGAGGCTCCCTTGGGCAGAAGGACTTCCTGAAACATATTCCCAGTGTTCCTAGGACTGATGGGACTTTTTTCCTCCATGTGTGTACCAATGACAGGTCTTTAGATTTAGTTACATTATGAAAAAAAGAGCATTTTTTTCTTTGTGGTAAAAACAGTATTTCATGGCAGAGTAAGGCAGCTGTGATGACTGTAATTTTTCTTCAGTTCATCCTTACCTCAATTCTCTTGTAGCCAAAGCTTTCCATAGGACAGTGTCTCTGGAATCAGAGCTGCTTAAGAATCCCTTGGCTCATTTCTGGGTGCCCAAGGAGGTCTTACTGGGGCCTTGGGACTTCCCTAACAAATATCTGGCCCTCCCCTGACCTCCACCCACCCTTCAGCAGTACCAGGCAGTGGGAAGTAGTCTTACGTGTGGTATTCTTTTCCAGTGTTGCTCTTAGCATACATGAAAGGGAATGCCAACTTGTGCCGTGCCATCGTCCGATCTGGGGCTCGCCTGGGAGTGAATAATAACCAAGGAGTCAACATTTTCAATTACCAGGTTGCCACCAAGCAGCTTCTGTTTAGACTACTAGGTGAGTGGCGTATGATTTGCTCTTCAGTACAGTGTTGATTAGCTAGATGTATTGGCGATCTTCAAGCGCTCAACCAGCAGTTTCCAGGAACTATATCAGATTGTTTCTGTGTATGGGATAAAGGACCTTTGCATAATGCTGAGAGAGAGTCACTGTTAACATTCTTTTTTCAGAGTGCTTTGCTTTGGGGCCCCTGTTACCCACTCTACCTGGACCTTCCAGAAATCCCTAAGCTTTAGGCAGGCCACCCTGACCTGCTGATCTGCTTACCTGTCCTCCTCTCTGTAGCCTTCAAAATGGCCCAAAGCTTCAGCCTTCACAACTCTTCCTCTTCACATTCATCATAGGGATTTTTTTGTTTTTTAATGTATTTAGTACAGGATCTCACTACACAGATTGGACTCGTGATCCTCCTGTTTTCAGCCTCCCAAGCGCTGGAATTACAGGTGTGCACTACCATGCCCAGTCTCAGTGCACACTGCGGGCGGGGCCGGCATGGCACACCAGGGATCGAACCTGGGTCTCTGTGCCTAAGCAGGTGCTTTAGTCCACTGAGCTATCTGGCCAGCCATCTTAGGGATTTGTTCCTGTACATGTCTTAATTCTCCTTTTTTCCCATTTCCCTCCCCTACCATCAACCCTTCTTCCCTACCCAATCTACAAAGATTTTTCTTTTTTTTTTTCGTTCCATTCTCTTCCCCTTTTCATTCTTTTTTAAAATCCCCTTTTCCCTTTCTTTCCTCCTTCTGCTCCTTCTCCCTTGTTCCCCTTTTCATTTGAACAATGTCTGTTTTGTTCCTTGTTTGCTCTTTGGGTTTCTCACACAGGAAAAACAATGTGATGCTTAAATTTGCTTGTCTGATTTAATTCACTTTATGGTCTCACGGTTTATCCATTTATCTAAAAATGACTGAAGTTTATCCTCCACTGTGTATACATACCACATTTTACTTATCCATTCATTAGTTGATGGCCATATGTTCTGTTTCCAAGATTTAGCTATTATAAATTGTGCTGCTGTTAACATGGGTATGCATATATCAGTGTGGCATGATGCTTTTAATTCTTTGGGGAACTCTTGATTTCCTATTTGCCTCTTTTTACTTCTTCCTGTTGAATCAGTGGCAAGAATCAAAATGCCTTGAGTGGGGCCTTGAGTGGGGCTGGTGAGATGGCTCAGTGGTCTAAAGCACCTACTCA